CCTGCCTGGCACCCCGCGTTGCTGCCCGCAGACCCCCAGGGCTCTGCCTTCCAGCCTGGGCCACCTTCGCCCCAGGCTTAGGAGGGACCTTCGAGGAAGCCTAAAGGCCACGTTGGGCATTTGTGTGAGCTCACCGCGAGCAAAGCTCCCCAGGGCTCAAAATCAATCTTTTTAGTATTATTATTCTGGATGTGTGCTGCACCTCCAAACTGCGTGAGCAGAGGAGCAGTTGGCTCCAGACCCTGAGGATTGGCTCCCGGGAGCAGCCCCGCAACCTCCCCTCTCCTGCCGGCCCTTCCCGGCAGCATCCTCCTCCCTTGCCGGTACTTCAGCCTCTGCCTCGCAGGCAGGAGGGGCTGAGCAAACAGGCGTCCGGGATTTCCAGCCCTTTCTTTACTTTCCCTCCTCCAGAATCGCTGAATTGCATTCCCCGGGTGCGCAGGGGTGTCGGCACTGGGATGGAGAGTCCCGATGCTCCTGTGGGAAGTGTCAGGGACCCCAGGGAGCAGCAGCCCCACGGAAAAGCCAGGCCTCGGGACAGGGGGACATTTTGTTCAGCCGAGGAGGACTGTGTTGGCAATGCGCCTGCAGCCGGAGCCTCTGCACCTAACTCGGAGAAAATGGAAGAAAGGGCAGAGGGAAGGGGCTGAGCGCTGAGCTGGATGCGGGCTCAAGGGCTGTCTGTCTGGCTGTCGGTCCTCCAGAGCCCCAGGCCACGTCTGCAGGTTGAGCTGCCTGCTGGGCTGTCCAGCCCCAGACTAAATTTAAGCCCCCGGGGGTGACCCTTCCCCAGTGACTGCAGAAGCTGCCGCTTGTTCCAGTTGGGAGCAGGGCAGGGAACAGCTGGGAGTGGGATCGCACCCAGCAAACAAAACAGTCACAGCAGCAAACTGCGTTGGCCCCGGTGACTTCTGTTTGCCACCCTCTCTCCAATTTTCAGGAATCGTAACACAAATATTTATTTCTCCAGCCCAGCTCATGCTTTTTAAAAGGAAACTGTGCGGCATCATCTGGAGCTGGCAGAAAGCTCCGGTTGCTTCCCTCTTGTTCTCCTCTATCGATCGGAGCCGGCAGCTGAAGACAGCCCCTCTTCAGCTGCATCTTCTCTCTGTCCCTCGGCTGGAGGACCTTGAGAGGCTGCTGTAGGGCAGCAGGGAGGCGGTAACTTGAGCCGCAGCTTTCTCTGCCCTAAGGGATGCACAAATCTTAAAACCAGATGCCCACCTCCGGGTTTAATTGCCTGATGGAAGGAAAACTGTGCTGATGGGAGGTTGCATGTGGTCTCCCAGCAGCCAGGGCTCTCCCTGCAGTCCTGGGCCAAAGCGTAGGGGGAACCCGCAGCAGGAGCAGGGATTGTGAGGACAAGGCAGTACAGGGGTTTGGCCTCTTCCCCCAGGCCAGTTGCTTCATAGGCTAAAGTAAAAATAAAAGTCATAATAAAATAAGCAGCCATTTGAAAGAGACTGCAGTGTGCATCTGAACGCTGCAGAGCTGGGTTGCTGCTCCCTGCCCTCCCAGAGAGGGAGGACCGAGGGCAGCCCCCTCCCACAGGCAGCAGTTAGGACGGTTCCTGCTGCCCGCCGCTGTCATCAATAGTGGCTGCAGAGGCAGATGATTGCATGCAGCCCACGCCTGGCACAGAAACAAGTGGCTTTCTGGGAAAAACGGGGAGTGTGAGGGCAGGATACAAGTGCCCCTGCTATCTGTGGGAGGCCACCCCCACTCCTGCTATCACCTTCTGGGTAAGGGGCCCTCCTCCAGGGGAATTTTGTAGATGGCCAGAAGGTGACTCCCCAGCACTGGGTTTAGCCCAATATTTCATCTCTGGAGAGAGATCCCACGCTGGCCTTTGAATCTCCCTCTGGAAAACAGCCTGGAGCTGGTGAGTACAATCATTTAATCCCCACTAAAACCAGGGAAAGGCAGCAGACGGCAGTCACAAAACGGGCCAAGAGGAGCCGCGGCAGGGAGGGACCGAAGCACCTCAGTGTGCAGAGAAGAATCAAACCCTCACAAGCATTTCCTCTGCTCCAGTTAGCTCTGCAGCCGATTTTTCAATCCCTCTTTGGGAGGCAGGGCACGTGTCCACCCTTAGGTAGCAGGAAGACGCTCAAGAATTTGTCTTTCTGAGAAACCTTTTATTTGGCACAATCAATGCTCGCATTTTTCAGAGGGAAAACCATTCCTTCCTCCCCCTACTGAGACAAGCCTCGAGTACAGGCTGCTGCCGTGCTCGGAGGCAGGGCCCGCTGCGACACGGGGAAATTTCGGCTTTCTCGGAAATGTGCGGGTGTGGAAAGCCCAGCCTTTGGATTCACAGCAGCCCGCTGAAAACTTTGTTTACTGAAAGTGGACTGACCACAAAACTTCCATTGAGAAGGCCTCGGTAAACAGCTGGATCAAAGGCTGAAACGCCCCAGTTTCTGGGGCCGGGGAGGTTGGGGGTTACAAGCAGCTGCTGCTCAGAGGTCTGAGCACTGTTCCTATGCTGGAGCTTTGCCAGAGGCTTTAACAGAAGCAGGGTCGGGAGCTGAACCAGGAACCCTGCGGTGTGGGGATAGATCATTTCGTTGCCTAACGCTCGACTGCCTTAGCAAAGAATCAGACAGTCCTGTTAAGGCCTCACAGAAGCCTTGGGGGAAAAAAAAAAAAAAATTAAAAATAGCAATCCATCAGCACTCAGAGCAGGATATTCCACTTCGGTGCCCTTTAAACAAACCCATCCTATCATTACCTTCGTCCCCTCTCAGGGAGCACGAGTGACAGCAAGAAGCGTGGAACCTTTTGCTTCCTCCTTACCCATGGGGCCTGTCCCAGCAGCCTAATTCTCCATCTGGCTCACTGCTTCATCCTGGACCTCCGGAGAGTTGGCTGGCTGAGGGGTAGACAAGTGTTCCAGCTCATAATGTCCATTCCTTGCAGACACCGTGCTGGTCGAATGACCCTTTCCTGCTGCCAGCTTTTTACTCCTCTTGCTCTCAAGGATCTGCTGGAGCTGACGCCCAGCGTAGTCTGGTTTGGCAGTGAGCGCTGTGGTGGGCACGGCCAGCCCAAGGATTTCGGCTACCATGTAGGGCCGGAGCCAGCCCACCAGCGGGGTGCTGCCGGGGGTATAGTGGGTTTGCTTGTGATAGAAGAGAAGCCCATCAACCTGGAAAGTGGGGAGAGAGGGAATGAGAGGCTGGAGCTGGAGGCTTCTGCAGGTGGATGACGGCGCCAGACGACAGCACTGCTCTCCATTTACAGGCCAAAACTACCAGCTGGATCATTTTTCCCTCAAGCAGTGAAATAAATAGCGGAAGGGAAAGAAGAAACCTGCAGAGCTCCTGCCCTAAAAGGCCAGTGCAAGCCCAGTGACAGCCGTACGGCTTTAAATCGTCCAAGGCAAACCATTCCAGCCTGATGTCAGCACGGACCAGCACTTTTCCTCTGGTTGCCGTGATCCCATTCTGCAGCAAAGCCATCAGGTTTCTGAATGAGGCAGCGCACAGAAGGGCCACTTTACTGGATTAAGGTTATTTTAAATAATACATTTGGAGAGTAATTAGTCAGAGTGCATGACGCCAAGGAGCCCCGAGTTGTAACGCTGCTCCAGCTCTTTCAGCTGCCTTATGCAAAATAAATTCTTCATGTTTCCCCAGAGAAAACTTCTCCAGCAATCAATGACAGTTAAGGGCACTCAGGACTTTAAAGGTTCAGGCCCTAACTCTTGTGCTACTATTTCCACACTCTGCAATACCATAGCTGGCTGCCGATTTCCCCACTGCACCCCAGGATCTTCTCCCCCCTCTGCCGGCACCTCCCAGGGGTGTGCTCGGCCAGGTTAGATCCGGCTGTCAGGCTGACTAACGCTGGAGGTGCTGCTGCCCTTAGCTTGGCACTGCAAGCTCTTAAAAGGCCATTTGGCTGCGAGTAAAGAGCGGCTGAGAGGGCAGAAAAGACAAGACAAAAGAGCCCACCTAGGGCTGAGCTCCTCCCAGGCCCCTCCCTGGGCCTACAGCCCCCAGAATGAACATGGCAGAAAGGCACGTGGACCAGCACCGAGCTGAGGCACCGGTGAGCCAAGCAGGTCGAGGGGATTTCTGGACTGTCAGCCAGGCTGAGCAAAGAGGAGCAGATGCTCTTCTCTGTGCCAGGGATGCTAACCTCCAGCAGAGCTTCTGGCACTACTCTGTCCGTAATTTTCAGTCGCTGTTAAGATCTTGCAAAATAATCCCAGAAAAAAGGGGGATTCCTGTGCTAGGAAAACAGAAAACCAGAACAGTAAACATCACAATGAGCTTGTGTAACCCGCTGGACATCTGAAGTACAAAGCTTTTCCCTCCCCCTGCCTTCCAGGAAGAGCCAGATTCTGCGGCACCTTATCACCATGCCTGCACATCCAGCCCATTCCTGTGAATACACGGCACTTGATGAGCAACAGGGATTCTCCTGTCACCCACAAGAATGTTTTGGTAAAGATCAGAGCCTGGAAAGGCTTCTGCCTTCTAAACCGCTCCAAAGATCTTCCCCAGCCTGGAGAGTTCCAAGGAGTTCAGCCTGGTGGAGAGTTAGATCACGTTCTTCCTTCCCCTAGTTTCTCTTAAATTACTCCCACATTCCTTCCAGTTTATTTAATCTGTTGGCTGGGTCCCTACCCCAAGTCACCATGCTGACACCAGCCACATCACAGTAAGGGTTGACACTGTCCCTGAACGACCAAATCTGATGAGAAACTGGCCTGGCAGCATTTCATGGCCAGGCTTTTCAGATTTGAGGCATTTAACAGTACTCCCACTCCTTCACACGGGGGTTTCTCAGAGACTTTGGCTCTTCCTGCTTTCATGGAAACCCGAGTGTTGTTTCACTCAGATCTGCGAGTAAGACAGTAGCTCTTAAGATCCGCTCCAAAAAACACTTTTAATTCAGTGCCCGTCAACTGATGCAAACTCCACTGAATTCAGGGGGAAAAAAAATTCTGCTGAATATAAGCGGATCAGGTCCTAACTCCAAGGTTACAGATTAACTCTGAAGACCCAGGTCTGAAGACACTGACCATCTCTGTCACCACCACACACACGAGATCCTTGCAAGGATCCCAAGCTGCTGGGCCCAGGCATGAGACCACCTCTATTACATGGCACCCTTCACAGCAAGGCGCTGTTTTGGCAGTTTTATTTCATGATGTGCTGCTGGTGGAAGATAGTTAAGGGGATTTCTTGGGCTCCCTCTCGTGGCACATCACTTAGGGATGGACCCACAGTGCCCTTCATTCCTGAAGTGCCACCACAGTTTTGGTGGGGTTACCAGCTGCTTGGAGCCAAATTACACCACGTTTCACTTCTTGGGGTTGCACTCTGATGTACTGTTCAGAGAGCCCAAGGGGCCAAGTCACAGCTGGATTACAAGGGAGAGTCTGATCTGCTCCATCTCCCTCCCCCAGTGTTTTGCAACAGCCTCCTTTGCAGGCTCTGACAGCAGCAGGGTAACACTCCTCAGTCTTCCCTTGTGGGAACAGATGCCTCAGGAAGGAATGAAGCTTTCTCCAGTAAGAAGGGGAATGCCTCTTTCTAGAAGCACTTGGAGCATCTGCAATTGAGCTGCAGGAAAACTGGGATGCCTTCTCAATGAGCCCTGATCTGTGTTCAGAGTGGGGTCTGGCAAGACCACCAAGAGGCTGGGACTTTCCAACTCTAACAACTGTCACGACTTTAACGAGCAGAAGACAAAGTCAGCCCTCGGCCAAATTAGCATCCCTTAAATTTAAACTTGCACTTACTTAATCCCTAACTCTGGCCAGGACAGCACAAAAGAGACAGTCAAATCAACATGGCTTTTGGCTTAGCAGGACAAGCAACCTCTGTAGAAGCTGTTCCTGATCTTCAGCTGAGACTGGGCACTCCACAGGAACACTCGCAGGCACTGGAGTTCCTTCTGGCACCCAGATGTTTGCCACTAACACTGTGCCAGCACGTCGTCACCTCCTCCATCCTCTTCTGCCTCGGCACCAAGTCAGCCAGGGCAGCCAAAGCAGTCCGAGCCATTTTCACAACCCTCTCCAAGTCACTGCTCACAGCCAGAGGGCTGAAATGGGTGGCACATCAATTCACCCATCCTGCCCTTCTCCCAGAAGTCAGCAGAGAGGCCCTTTCTGTTGCAGCCAGCTGCCCCCAGCTCCAGCATGCCTCAGGCACCCATCACTAACACCCAAACCCAGCAGAAACCATCAAGAGCTTACCACCACCCTTCCCTTCACTCCCTACAACACACAAGACAGTTTGGTGCCTTGCACATCGATACTGAGGGGCTGGAGGGTGGCCAGAGAAGGGCAACAAAGCTGGGGAAGGGTCTAGAGCACAAGTCTGGTGAGGCGTGGCTGAGGGACCTGGGGGTGCTGAGCTCGGAGCAAAGGAGGCTCAGGGGACACACCTTCTGGCTCTTGACTGATCCCTCAAAAGAGGCTGGAGTCAGGTGGGGGTTGGGCTTTTCTCCCAAGGAAGAAGCAACGGGACAAGAGGAAACAGCTTCAAGTTGCACCAGTGGAGGTTTAAGTTGGATATTAGGAACAATTTCTTCCCCATCAGGGTTGTTCAGGCCTGTGCCAGGCTGCCCAGGGCAGTGGTGGAGTCCCCATCCCTGGAGGGGTTTCCAAGCCGTGGAGATGTGGTGCTGAGGGACAGGGGTCAGTGGGGACCTGGCACTGCTGGGACGATGGTTGGACTCCACCTGAAAGGTCTTTCCCAATCACAACATTTCTATGATTCTCTGAACATTGCTAGACTAAGGAAACAGAGCCTGTGGCAGAAGAGAAAGCCTGCTCTGTCCAAAACACCACCACCTAAGGTAGCACACCACAGAGATCCTCATGCCTGTACCCACACAAGCCCACCCAGTGCAGCAGGCGGTACCAGCTCTGGCCCTAAAAAGGTACCTGGTGACAGGGTAAGGGATCAGCCACGTATACAGAAGGCGTCCATCCCCCCACATAGGGCAACAGGGCAGTGGGGCTGTCTCTGAAGCTGAGCTGCAGGCCCCCACCTGCATGTTCTCACCTTGAAGGGGAAGTCCATAGCCAGCACCTTACACAGGCTGTCCGAGGAGCAGGGGAAGTTCTGCAGGCCCACAAATTTGAACTGAAAGAGTTAAGAGAGGGTTAGAAGAGACAACTGCATGGCCTAAAGCAGAACAAGTCACCGAGTCAAGCGCTGGTGTGGAGACTGCTAAGAAGGAAGGATTTCCCCCAGGGAAAGGGCAAGGGACAGAAAGTAATCAGAAAGGAGATCTCCAGCAGGGACCACCTCACTGAACTGCTGGCCTTCCTGCCACAGGGTATGAGGGCCCAAAAGAGGACTAGATCAGCTCCAGAAAGGCAGGTCTCCCAGTGGCCACTAACTCCATGATCACCTGACTGATAAAGTCAGGGGGAACATGGGAAGGATCTCCAATTTTCTAATCCCTGTGGTTACTATGGGTTATTGGGACAGACTGACCTCTGATGTGCTTCAGAAAAGCAGTTTGTAAGCAACCCCCTGGATCTAAAGGCAAAACAATAGGACCAAGCTGTCGAGTGGTACTGGTCATATCCCACTAGAGTAATGAGGACCACTTGCATGAAAACCTACAAAAAAACCCCTAGGCACCAGAGGATGGGGTGGTTAGAAATCACCCCCACTGCCTCGCCATCAACGCTGGCTAAAACACATACACTGCTGCAACTTTACAAGTCTCATTCCAGAAACAGAAGATGCCTTTTAAAAGGCCATCCTTGAATTGCCATCATGAAATCTAGAATGCCCAGAATGATCTATTTCAGTGGTTTTATCGTCCCTGTTCCAAGTGAGCCCCTCTCTGGCATTTAATGAGATGCAGACAGGAGAGACTCGTTGCACATCTCCCGATACCTTTTTCCAAGGATCTAAGGCTGCAGGAAGGACTTTTCAGGAGAGCTGACCCTGTGATGCTCTTCTAACCAAAATAGAAACGGATGACCTCTGGGCAGGATGCAAAGCAGATACATGTCTGCTCCAGGCTGCTGGCTCAGCCAAGCAAATCTTTCCACCCAGGAAATGAAAGCTGAAAAAACCCTCCCTTCATTAGGTAGCTGTCTACTGGATATTCCCGTTGGGAGTCAGAACAGGATGTTCTCCAAATACAGATACCCTCACTGCTGGCACAGGAATGGTCATCCCCGTTTATGACCAGTCTACTGAACCCCCAGGAGCTGCTCTGCTTGGCTCTGACTGAGCACACACAGGGGCTGCACACCAATCAGCTTTTGCTTTGCAAACCCTGCTCCGTAAGCCAGGCTGCCAAATCTTTCCTGTCCATCCCCAAAAACCACTTTCCAAGCTGCTGTGGGTTCCAGGTCTGACCACTACGTGTCAGGCTTCAAAGAAACACTTTTTATCCTTGCTCAGCAGGGATGCCGGATGGCAATCCAGCATCCATCCCAACACTTCAATGATTAGTTCAAGGCTAAAGCTTTATGAGCCTTTCCCCTTGCTTTGCAAGCCCACAAGACTATGCAAAACCAAATCCCTTTGTAGTCAGTCTGCCCAGGTAGAAACCACACTGGTTTTCCATTCCATTCCATTCCATTCCATTCCATTCCATTCCATTCCATTGGAAAGCTAAAAATGGCATGGAAGTTAGCTGATCTCCCTCAGCACTTTGGCTGGGGAAAGCAAACCAACCCTACGCTCATTTACAATACTCAGTGATTCTATTTACATCCTGAACAAGGCATCCCATTTCATCACGAGTACACTTTGAAGCCTGATCTGTTGAGAGGAGGGGAAAAAATAAATAAAAAAGCTTCCGCTCCTGAAAGAAAGTGCTGAAGTCTGCTGAACAGGAGAGCTTAGGCCCCTCCCCACTCCCCCTCCTCTCAGTACAAAAGAACTTACTGGATTAATCTTGCTTTTCTCTCCCAGTCCTTCCTCCTCTTGGATCTTTGAGGAGAGCCAGAAGAATCTGAAGTCAGTCTGTGAAAAGAGGCAGAGACTCAATGACTCTTCACCACACATCACTGACCAGCACCTGCTGAGCATCCACATGCCCCTGTGCTTGCCCAGGAGATTTACAGCCTCACCTGCACAACCTGCCAGTCCCCCCACCTCTGCTACTTCCCCCCAAGAGATATAACCAGTTATACCAGTACCCAGCAGCCCATAAGCTGTAAAGATCCTGGTGCTTAGAGGAAAAGACCCATCCTACTGCATAGCGGGCTACAGGCAGCGCTGGCTGCACAGCAGCTCCCAGAACAGGGAACAAAAGGGAAGGCAGGGCTCAGCTCAAGGGGATTTGGCACCTGGCAGTCATAAACGGGGTGTCCTCTCCAGCACATCACATCGAGGATGTAGTACGTCTGCTCCACCTCATTGTAGATGCAGTCCAAGATGCAGTACACTGTTCACACAAACACAGGGAGGTCCAGACACGCTCCAGAGACTGCTTAACCCAGCTGGCAGCTGCCAGATCAAGTCTCCCCTGCATCAAGCCTGAGAGGTGCAGAGGGATTCCCATCTGCTAAGAGAAGCTGGGACCACAAAAAGCTTTCAGCTGGAGGAGTCCAGTAAGGCTACAAAGGTACCAGCCAGAGATACAGCAAGGATATGAAGTACTGAATGTTTACAGAGCAGTCCTTCTGGATGAAGGGGCAAGGGGCTGGGGGGCAAGCGAGTGTTCAGTTATTTTATCTATACTTAGCACTCATGATTTTTATCTATTTGATTCTGCCCTCTTTATTAGAGTCCTGCCTCCCAAAAAACCTTCAAGTTCTTATAAACTCTGGGGCTTTCACAGCAAAGAAGCAAAATGGAAAAAAAAAAAAAGCAGAGTCATTCCACTCCCAAATCTTGGTGAATCATTTCCTACAAAGGCATGTTTCAGCAAACGGTGTTTATCAAGCAGTAACCCCTTCTCAGGGCAGGACAGCAACTACAAAGAGGTATTAAGAAAGACCATATCGTACACAGCTCTCTGTCAGAAGAGGTTTAAGAGGGTCAGCTAAGCCAGCAGCTAATTAAAAGATTTTTTTATCTAGCATATAGTCCATGTCTCATGATCCCTGGCAATACCCGGAGAGGCCTGATGCACAGCTCCAGAAACTGTGGCCTACCCACAGCTCCAGAAACGGGCCCAGCTTGGGGGAGCTGGAGGAGAACCCAGCCCACTGGTGCACACACCCACAGGCAGAAACAGGGGATTCCCCCCTTTGCATCCCGAGCATCCCCCACACCGTTACCTTTCTCGTTAGAGTTGTGCCGGTTCCCCCCCGGCAGCAGGGACGGGAACCTGTTGACACAGAAGCCGCTCTTGGTGTAAGCTGATGTTGTGCCCTGTCAGGAGACAGGAGAGATTAAAAAAAAAGGTTAAGCCAGACACACAGGCCCCTCTCATGTCAGCTGGGAAACAGGTACAGGTCCATCAGCAGACGGAGAGACACCACTGCTGCTGCTGCTTACCCTGGATGCCACGACTAGTGCCCTTTTCCCCACGGGACACACCACTAATACCCACTCGTGCTCCAGATCCGCCGGGACATCGACCAGCCATTCTGACAGCATCAGCTATGGAGAAATACAGGGGGGGAAAAAAATCAGTAACGACTCGCCTGAAGTTATGGAAAACTCACAGCTCAAGGATAAAGCAAGAACATTTCAACTTGGCTTCAACAGCTACACTGGGTGCTTCAAGAGAACGTTCGTAGCTCGTCACCCTGTGTTACAGCACCAAGGGGGCTCCCATCCTCTTTCTAACCAACCTGCATAACAGACTATCCCCCCATGTCTTTCTCTGGTGTCCCAGCTGCTGACTAAGCTCCAGACTACAGCATGGGGCTCACAGTCTCCACTCCAGCACCTTATTTACCTTAAAATACATGTCAGAACTTAAATACTAGGAGTAAAAAGCCCAGACAAGCTGACCTCTTCAGAGGTTGCCTAGCTATGATCACCCGAAAGGTCAAGTGTCTTTTAGCAACAATATGGCAGCCGAGGGTAGTAAACCCCAACAACTGAGGTTTCCCTTCCTTCACAGTGTCCCAGATATGGAAAGATACAGAAGTCGTTAACCAAGTGCTCTGTAGCAGGATACAAACACTGCGAGTTAAGCTGAAACCTCCCAAAGCACACAGGCAACCCACCTCCACCTGTCCTCCACTTTAATGCAGCACGTCTCGCAGGTAGAACCGGGGCACGGCTCCTCTCTGAGCACCAAGCCAGGCAGGACACATTATTCCCATCCATCACCAACCCACACCCCTCACCCTGCCCTGCTTTCACACCCGTACCCATGGCGGGGAGGTGAGCAGAGGCAGGCAGCTCCTCACCTGATTGGCGTAGCGTTTGGGCAACTTCTTGCCAGCATCCACGTCCATCTCCTCTTCCTCCTCATCTTCCCCCTCCTTCTCCTCGCCTTCGCCCTCCAACTCTGCCCAGTCGTCCTCTGCCAGCCTCCTAGCATGGTTCACGTAGTCCAGCCGCCTCCTGAGGAGGAAAGGGAACAGCACGGCTTGCCCTCTGCGTGAGGAGACGGAGACCGCCACCGTCGCGCTCCCCACACCCGAGGCC